AGTGTCGTCAGCGAAGCAATAAATGGTGGTATTAGGGTGCTCAGGGATATCAGAAGTGTATATAGAATAGAGGATTGGGCTCAAGACGCTACCTTGTGGTACGCCTTTGTGTTGGGGAAAGAAGGAAGATACAGAAGAGTCTACGGAAGTACAGAAAAATCTATTAAGAAAGTAGGATTGAAGAATTAAAAAATAAGTGGAAGGTATCTCATTTTCTGATTTCATATGTTATCTTATTGTTTCTTATTAACCAAAAAATTAAAAAACTTAAGCCGTTTACAAATTTGAAGTTTTTCGTTTTAGGATACGTAGAAAACCGAATAAAAAAGAAATTTGTCTGTCCGCTGTCCGCCGCTTTTCTTTGAGATTACTGGACCGATTTTATTTGGAATCAAAGTCAGAATTCACCGGACAAAGATACTCCTACCTCGACATTATCTTTCCTTTTAAGATGGGGGACGAAAAACCTGTGTTGGTATCAGGGGTGCCAAACCCCCCCCCCAGGTCAATTGCGCAGGAATCTACTCTCCCTCCTCCCAAAATATTTGATTGCTCACTTTTCTTAAAAACAGAGCAAGGGAAAGTAGAATTAGAAAAGCCATAGATCGTACACAATTACACTGCGGTTTGTTCCATGATTTCCTCTTGCCCCTTACTCTGTCACTTTTCATTTAGAAAATTCATAACCCCGTTGAAATGTGCCGCCCTCAAAAATTCAAAAACCCTTTTAAACGTACCCCCGCCCCTCAAACATTTTGATGGCGCAATTTAGGTTACAACCAATATTAATTTAGGTTACAACCAAATACTTCATAGTAAACTAGATTAAATACAAAAAAAATCTGACTATTTTAAACCACTTAAAGGAGACTTTTAAGCAGGTGAACTATAGTAACTTCGATTTTCATAAAAAAAATAATTCTTCGCGATGTTTTTTCGTGACCAACACCATGATCGCTTAACTGTTGTAAGACCAAGACCAAGACTGAGAAAAAAAGTCGATTTTTTTTAATATAAATTAAGGCAAAATAGTTACTAATACTTGACAATTTTAGTTACTATATGTTACGAATTGGTATAACCAATATACTTCTGCATTTAACTCTTCTAATTTTTCATTCTGTTTTTTTTGTTGGGGGTTTTTCTTATCTAAAAAATGACAGTAATATCTCTATAATAATAAGCTAATAGGTAACTGCAAGACTCTTGCGCAAGACCAAGTATCATAAAGTCCAGAAGACCAAGACTCGTCTTGGTCTCGCATATGGACAATTGGGTAACACTAGATATCACACTTTCGGAAAAACTTTCTTGTTCGATGAGCTTTAAGTCTATATTAATTAAGTTGAGTTTACATTTTGTCTAATTGATTAAAAATATTATTAGTACGTAAAAATTAGGAATCGACCCAAATATCTTTTTACTGAATTAGGGATGAATCTCAACTTATTCTGTAACAAACCACAACTTAATTAATATAAACTTGAAGCCAATTGAACAAAGAGGTTGGAAGTGAAAGTGTGTTATTTTTAGTCCAGTTGGGAGATTATAAAAAAAATCGCGAAGAATCCTTAATTTAAGGAAAAACAGAACTTACCTTAGTTTAATTGCTTAAAATTCCCCTTTAAAAATAATCAAAATGTACTTGTATTTAATGCAAATTTAATCTAGTTTACTTTCAAGTACTTGATTGTAACCTAAATTAAACTTTTTTTTTAGTTATTACGTTTTATTCAACATAAAACATGGTTGGCTAAAAAAATTACAAAATTTGTGTTTCCAGGTTGTCAATAATATTAAGAATCATTAAAAGAAAGAAACCTTGAATAATAAATTGAACGATCGCAAATGTTTAAAAAAAATTATTAAACTTCAAAAAGATATCATTTACTGCGAACTTAAATTTCTTGGTTTAGGACAATTTTTGCTTAAAATGGAAATGCAATAAATATAATCTTATAAGTATCCCTATAATCATTGGTTGCATCCAAAAAATGTACAGTCATTTTTATAGAGATTTAAATTTTTTTTAATATTGTAATGAACAATCATTGCGAAAAAACATATAGTTTTTGAGATATTCTCAAAAAACCTAAAAAATAAAAGTTCTGTCCTTCCTTTCCTCCCTCCTTCAAAACCTGATGCGGGTTTCTTCGGGTCTTTTAATTAGTTATTATGAGGAAGGTAATGGACAATTTTTGACAAGTTTCGTCTTTATTTTTTTTTTTTAATGTTGGGGTGTCAATCCCCAATTTTACTGGACTAGAAGGTAAATAGACAATATTTGCAGACTGTGAACTTCTAAGAGGATGGGACAGATTTGAGAATTTGCACACAGTGCTTTATACACGCAATAATAACGGCTTAGACCCAGAGTAATGTCCCTATTAAGATGGTCGGACAGGAAGCTCACTAGACACAGCCCACGATTTGGCATCCTGAGGGCAATGCCATCTAGATTGCTGTAAACATATCACACTTTAATTTCTTCCTTCTGAGTTCACGACTTTCATAAACACTATTTATTTATTTTTCATTAAATTTGCCACTGCCTTGCAACGCATCAAGCAAATGTGTTGGAATTTATTGTAGCTTCTTGTATTCTCGGTATTTTCTTAACTTGCCAGCAGAAGATCTCGAAGCCACTGCCTTTTTAGTCGTCGTTGAGGCTCACCAGGTTACAGGGAGGAAGATAGAGATAGAACGAGAGAATTTGGATGATTGAGAGTAGAAGAATGGAATGTTGTGTATGTAGGATTTTACTTTTGGTATGTTCATGTCTGTATGTATGGTGTGATTTGAAATAAACCAAGGAGCATTAACGATTTTAGGAAGTATTTTGGATTGTGTGGTTTGAATTTTGTTTATGTGTATGTGTTTTGCGTAACGCCAAAGTTCTGCTTCGTATGTCCAAATAGGTCTTAGTATAGGTTTTATTTTAGTGTGAATGTTCCAGGTGAGTTTTTTGTCCAAGTATAGTCCGAGATACCGTACATGTGTTTTCACTAGCGGATCCAGGATTTATTTTTGGGGGGGCTTCAGCCCGAAAGTTTTTTTTTCATAAAAATAACGATAATTACTTTGGAAAAAAAGAAAGAAACTAACTACCTGTATGAAATGGTGTTTAAGTTATTCCTAAAGCCCTTTTAAATGTAATTACATGAATAATAATACTTTAAGAGATACTTTTTAAATATTTTTTTCGATAAAACATGGTTATATTTTACCATTTTGGGGGGGGGGGGCTTCAGCCCGAAAGCCCTCCCCCCGTAGATCCGCCCGTGTGTGTTTTTGAGGGAACTGGTTTATTGTCTATTACCACAGCAGGACACGAGATCTTCCTTGGGGAGAAGCTAACATGAGTTGACTTGTTGGCATTGATTTTAATTCTCCATTTGTGAAACCATTTAAAAGTTGATTTGGTGTCTGTAATGTATAAAACTGAAAGATGTCATGAAACAGGTTGATTCTATTCAATGTCCAGACAAAGCCTTTATTTTATTTATATGGATGTTCTTTAACCTATAAACATATGTTTATTATTAACATTAACCGTGTTCTCTAGACAAATTACTCAAGAATTCATAACTTTGGTTATACTCAATATTTTGTTTTAATTTAAAGCCTATGTTTTAAATCAAGTAAACCTTAATATAATGTCAAAATTTCAAAAGTCTACAATAATCCATTGCAGAGCTTACCCCTGACAAAATTTCGTTGCCATTCGGACATACAGACAGACAAAAAAATTTTTAAAAATGGATTTGGTGTCTGCAAAGTATGAAACGGAAAGATATTATAAAACGGGTTGATTCTATTCAATGTACAGACAAAAATCTTTATTTTATTTATATAGATATATATTGTTTTATTTTATCTAATCTTCAATCATTCGAAGGCTAGAGCAATTATAACTTAATGATTAAATTTCAAAACTATATATAAGCCCTACATATATATTTAAACTTAACTATTTAATTGGGAATAATAACTAATAATTGGGACCTTATTTCCAATTAAATAGTTAAGTTTAAATTTAATACTCAAAGGTCGATTAAAGAAAAGTTGTAAATATATATATATATAAAAGCATTCTCTATATATACACTTACAACCAATGTAGAGGGTCTCTATCTATCTTCGTATAGCTGCCATTTTGTATTCCAACGGCTAAATTCTGGCAGACGTACATTTTTCTCATCAGGCCTGAGGATATGGTAAATTTATAAGGACGAAGCTTAGTATGAAATATGACATCTTTTTTACAACGGGTTCCCGAACTTAGTAGTCCAAACAATGTCCCAAATTCAAAAATAGTTTCCCCGCCATTACTTTCTATAATCATTCATTACCTATACTAGGTAAGGAAAGTATTGCAATCGGGTCAAATTTCCGTCATGCGGTTTTCGACGGATCTACACGTTTCAGAGCCCCCCTGTTTTTTTTTAAAGGTAATGCAATTCCCTACAAAGCCATATAGCCGTTCATTTTGGACAACTATTAACAAAGTTACAGCTATTCAATGTCCAATGTAAGATTGCGGGTTCATATCCTGGTGTCAGAAAGGGGTGAACGAGAGAATAAAGATGACTATGTGAAAGTAAGAAAATCTGTTGCCCGCATCACACTAGCTTCACTGTTTTCTCTACTTTTAACAGAAATTATTGTTTAACAAAATTAAGCTATGGCAGTTTTTGATTAGCAATATTAGAGAGTATTGAAACATGTACACTGATCAATCTTAAGCCGGTTTACATTGCTTTAGTTTTTCAAATAAATCGTACTCAAATCTTTTCTTTGATCAATTTTCAGGAAAATGAGTCTAGTTCAATTTTTTTTTTTTTTTGTTTCTTCATGAACATATGTAAAGATATAAAAACTTTTCTGAAATAGATAGGAAAGTCGTGTGAGTGGACATACCAGATATTTTATTCTTATTTCAATTCAGTTGTAAATTTCATAAATAAAAATTGTACATAATTAGAATAAAACTTATAAAACTGGAACTTGTTTAGGTACAAGGTGCATTCTGGTCCTTCATCACTGTCTACAGCATCGGGGTCTATGGCTGCAACTTCGACTTCCCCTTCGAGGACACCACGCACACCACGGTCATGGACCTCTTCTATTATTCCTACTTCTATGGTTGGTATTATTTGACTATTTAATATTTCGATGAGATGTCAGTTAAATGGCTGTTTTCGTTTCATACATGTATGTTCTCAGGGCAATGCAGATACCCAGATTTAGGCACCCTGCATTATACCAACAGAATTATCAACCCGCATCCTCAACGGACCTATATCCTGATGATTATATATGGAGTGCTGAGCGCAATATGGATACCATCTTCTATTCTCATTTTAGGTAATTCAGCTTTAATTATTAATAATACTTTTTTAAAATTTATTTTGATGAAATTTACAACTGTATTACATGAAAAATACAACAAGTAAATGTGACATTGGTAACATGACATGTACAACATGAAGAGAAACTACCTTAACATTGGTAGAACTCAAATTAAAGTTCTATATTATAAGGTCCCGAGGCCATCTTCTTTTCAGACGCCTCGGAGGGTTATCAGGGATCGAGGAGGAAGCAAGGTTTGAAACGAGAGGGTTCGGATAGTTCTGTAGTTTGTTATGGAAGGATAGGTATCTGGATTGGGCCAAATCGGAAACATTTGGAACATTATGTTTATTTATTTATGGATTACAATTATGGATGATTTTATTTGTGACAAAGTAAGGAGCGTTGAGGATTTTGGATTGTAAGGATTGGATACGAGAGGAATTTGATGGTTTAACGGAGCCCCAAAGCTCAATTCCGTAAGTCCAAATAGGTCTTATTATTGTCATATATATGAGTCATTTGTAATTGATTGAAAGCTTAGAGCGTTTGTCTAGTAAGTGCTGCAGTAGTCGAAAACGTCGGGCGGTTTCTAGTCGTTTCAGTCTGCTATGGGGGTTCCAAGTGAGTCGTTTGTCCAGGTGGAGTCCTAGGTATCGGATATGTTCGACAGAGATAAGAGGGCTATTGTTGAAGGATACTGTAGGACAGGAAGTCATAGGGTTACGACGAAGAGTGAAGGTAATTTGATGGGATTTATTGGAATTTATTTTAGTCCTCCAGTTTTGACACCATTTTTTTCAAGACTTGTGATGTGTGATTGAAGAGTTCGGGATGCAATAGATGGATCGTTATTAACTGATAGGATAAACGTGTCATCGGCATAGGTGGTGATAATACTGTGGATAATGATAATACTAAAATGAAAATACAGCTCAAAAAGAGGCCTAAAGTAATTAGGATACAAAACGCAAAAATCTGGTGCACACAACCCAAAACTTTCAATTACCTTTCTACTTTAAATAGAAATTATTTTTTGGCAACGTTGAAAAATCATAAAAAAGTTTAAATGCACTTCTACGGAGCTATAGATTAAAGCTTACAGCAAACAAATCATTAGGACTACTAAAATAACAAAAACCCTACTAATTATATCAATGGTAGATAATAAAAACCTCTGTACTCCATTAGAACTAATTGTATCAGTTTATTAAAATGAAATTACGAGATTTCCATTGCCTGCTATAGATAGTTATAAGTTGAAACACTAATTTTAAATCTCATACTAGACTGAAACGACAAGAAACCGCACGACGTTTCCGATTACTTCAGCACTTACTAGACGAAGGCTCTAAACTTCCAATTAATTACAAAAGACTCATATACATTACTATAATAAAGCCTATTTGGACTTACGGAGTTGAGCTATGGGACTACACTAAACCATCGAATTCCTCTCATATCCAATCCTTACAATCCAAAACCCTCAATGCTCCCTTCTTTGTTACAAATAAAACCATCCATAATGACCTTAATGTTTCATATTTGGCCAAATCCAGATACCTATCCCTCCATAATAAACTTCAGAATCACCCCAACCCTCTCGTTTCTAACCTTGCTTCCTCTCCAATTCCTGATAACCATCCGAGGCGTCTGAAAAGAAGATGGCCCCATGATCTCCTAATGTAGACATATCATTAGAGTGCTACCATTGGGTAGTTACTCAGCAAGTGTTTTCATGTCATTATATCCATTATTTTCAAATTTCGATGGATGTATTTCTTTAATACAGTCGTAAATATCATTAAGAAATAATAAAAAAAAAATTGAGTGGTTAATTCAAAACTTAAAGCAATTATAAATTTATGTGTATATCTCGATATTTTGTAGAAAAAACGTTTTATATAATAAAATATTTTGATGAAATTTCAGTTATAGCTGTGAATAAAATCCACGGTAAGAGAGGATCAAGATGCTATTGGCCCTGGATTGTGACGACAGGCATTTTGAACTTGCTGGATGTCGCAGCCTCCATAATATACATCGTCGACATTACCAGGTCTTTAGTAAGTTAGCGATATTAAATCCATATAGTGTATCTTACAAGATAGTTTGTATCCAGTTTAAGGATTTTGTATCAGTCATTATAGAAAACTTTGTGATTTTCTTCTTAGTATAGATACAGACTTTGAAGTATTTTTTTCCTAAAGATTTCTAAAAAACAAAATATATAAATAAATAAGGGCTTTAAACTATTATCAATAGGTCTATCACACCATTTACGAATCTTCACTGTTCTGATATTGTGGTTGTTATTTTCATGATATAAATGTTTTTCTCAGTCCACTGGTGTTACTCGAGGTAGTATCCTTTATACAGCTGACATCCCAATACTGTTATCAACACGTATGCCAATGCCACATGTATCCAATCAGTAAATAATGACCCATCAACTGCATCCCAAACTCTTCAATCACACATCCCAAACCTTAAAGAATGATGTCAAAACTGAAGAATTAAAATAAATCCCACCAAATTACCTTTACCCTAAGTCGTAAACCTGTGACTTCCTGTCCTACTGTATACTCAACAATAGCCCATTTATCTCTGTTGAACAAATCCGATATTTAGGAATCCACCCGGACAAACGACTCACTTGGAACCCCCATACCAGACTGAAACGACAAGAAACCGCCCGACGTTTCCGACTACTGCAGCACTTACAAGACAAATGCTTTAAACTTCCAACTATTTACAAAAGACTCATATATATATTACTATAATAAGGCCTACTTGGACTTACGGGATCGAGCTTTGGGGCTGTGCTAAACCATCAAATTCCTCTCGTATCCAATCCTTACAATCCAAAATCCTTCATAAAATCCTCAATGCTCTCTACTTGGTTACAGATAAAACCATCCATAATGACCTTAATGTTTCATATTTGGCCAAATCCAAATAACTATCCTTCCATAATAAACTTCAGAATCATCCCAACCCTCTCATTTCTAACCTTGCTTCCTCTTCAATTCCTGATAACTCACCGAGGCGTCTGAAAAGAAGATGGCCTCGTGTTCTCCTAATGTAGACATATTATTACTCAAGTACTTCAGTGCTCGAACCACGCCCTGATGATCACTCATTATATGTAGAACAGTTGACTAACTTCCTTCAAGAAACTCTTAATTGATTTGCTACCCCTATTTTTTATACGCAGGCACAGTATTTAATGCAATTTCTGGTTCGGGAGATGAGAAATACGTCTACAAAGATTGTTAAAAATTGAAAATCATAGCACGTTACAATAGATATAGTATACAAACTGTCAGATACTCTTTCTCACCAAACAAGCTGAAGTCTACTAGTTCAAATCGCGGTTTTGATTTAACATTGGCAATAATCCTCAGCTATCTCGCTTGGCCCGGGGGGAAAAAAACCGCATAGTCGAAAAGGTGAGGGAGGGAAGGACAAAAAAAAAAAAAAGATATTCATTCAACCTAATCAACTGAAGGGATGATCTAATAATTTTTTTTTTTGCATTTATAGTGGTTTATTGATAAATATTACAATCTGTCTCAATAAAGGACATTTACAATAGAGTTCTGAGAGCACATTCACACCATATTTACAAATTAAAAAATATAAATTAATAAAAAAAATAAGCTAACTTCAAATAATATAAAGCTACAAAAGAACAAAATAAAATATCATAGTGAGAAAAAAAATGAAAATAAACATCTTAGACGCAGGCATACCTATTACACTATTTACAGTCGGCCATAGGAACTCCGAACCATACTTATCCCCACGCACGTGGAGGGAAAGTAAGGCTGTAGGAGATCTCTGCGCTTCTTCCTCAACCATTTCACTGGCATTGAAAGCCAGCGGAGATTGAGTAAGGGCGCTACAACCACGGACACTCAAGACTTGAGTGGAGAATCTGGCCATTGCCAGAACTCCAGTATATACATGTTACAAAAGGTCACGGGGCCACTGCCGTTTCAGCCTGCGAGGAGGATTGTAGGGATGAGTGGTGCTAGTTAGGGATTGTGCTACGGGATTAGGGTGATGGGCAAGGTTCTGATGAAATTTAGAGAATTTGTCTGGGATAAGATCAAGAATAAATGGAATATTAAGGTCATTGTGCAGGGTTTTATTAGAGACATAAAAGGGAGCATCGACTATTGTACGGAGGACTTTGGACTGGAAGGATTGAATGCGTTTGATGTTAGAAAATTTGGTTGTCCCCCACAGTTCTAGTCCGTAGGTCCACATGGGTCTTAGTATTGTCTTGTAGATCAGTAGTTTGTTTTCAATAGAAAGTTTAGATTCTCTATTAAGTAGTCTATATAGCTGGCCATAACGTCGGTTAAGTTCCTGTCTTTTCAGTCTAGTATGCGGATTCCACGTTAGTCGTCTTTCGATCTAATAATTAAGAGCTTTTAACTTAGACATTATTCCTCCGACCTTACATCTGTCCCGAGAAAAATCCCGTAAAGCCAAAATGAATAAATTATCTTGGCAGGTTAACAGCGTCCAATTACATATAAATCATCTAAGCATTTGCGTTTAAGAACTTCTGACAGCGATTGCATGTTGTAAGTTCGTCGTAAACCTATAACTTCCTGTCCTACAGTATCCTTTAAAAATACCCTGCTTATTCCTCTTGAAAAAATCCGGTACCTTGGACTCCACTTGGACAAACGTCCAGTGGAATCATCATACCAGACTTAAATGACAGGAACCGCTCTAGCACTTACTAGACAAACGCTTTCAGTTAATTACAAAAAATGTATACACATGACTACAATAAGACCTATTTGGACTTATGGAGTTGAGATTTGGGCCTCCACAAAGCCATCGAATTCCTCACGTATCCAATCGTTACAATCCAAAATCCTTCGTAAAATCCTCAATGCTCCTTACTTTGTCACTAATACAATCATCCATAACGACCTTAATGTTCTGTAGTAGATAGCCACCAGTATTTGCTCCTTTATGTGACATAGTGTGAGGGAATGAGAAGGAATATATAGGAATGTGAGTTTGCAAGATGGATTGTACTCAATTGTGCAGTGGTCAAATTATTCATTGAAACGTCTCATATCGATAAACAATCGATGAAGAAGGAAAAAGGACCGGTCAGGTAGCAGCAGCTGGAGGAGGACGCCGGAGAAGAGAGGAGACGGCACTTGAGGCCGGGACATTGAGGCTGAACGACGTTAGAAGTCTACTACAAGATTTAGAAGATCAAGTCTATAGTTATAACACTTTAATAGAGTCAATTTATTACAGTTGTAGAAATAAATTGTTTTGTTATACAGGAGTGAAAAGTCATTTATTTATTTAGTTGTCCTATATACCTCACGATTGAAGAATAACAAATCAGGTGAGTCAATTCATTCAAAGTGTATTTACTAAGTCCCACATTTCAAATATATATTCTTTTTGATTCTTCTCACTCAGTGTCACAAAATTATTAGGTTCCCGAATTCCCAACGACAGTCAAACACCCTCAAAAAGTCGAAATCCAGTGCCGGGGTTTTATTTTAATAATAACGAATGTAAATAACCTAGTTCCCTGATATAAAAGCTGAAGCCTTTTCGCATTTCCCGCCAAAACATATTATTTACAAATAAACATTATTAGGTTATTTACGTTTCCGAATTGGCCCAATCCAGATACCTATCCTTCCATAATAAACTTCAGAACCATCCGAACCCTCTCGTTTCAAACCTTGCTTCCTCCTCGATCCCTGATAACGCTCCGAGGCGTCTGAAAAGAAGATGGAGTCAAAATCTCCTAATGTAAATACATTTTTTTTAGAGTGCTACCAGTGGGTGTTTAATACAGTTGTAAATATCATAAATATATAATATTTAAAAAAATTTGTAAGTCTTTGGGAAAAGTTGTTGTAATTTTCTTTTTCAATATCTAGAATTGTTGGGATGTTCAAGTCCTTATGCATTATAGAATATTATCTCTTCTGTACATTTATCCTAATTTTGGTGTCTTAAGGTAATATTTCGCTGGCGCGGTCCACGACCGCGACTGCTCGCGGTTGACCGCAGCTTTAAGGTACTATTTCGCTGGCGCGGTCCACGACCGCGACTGCTCGCGGTTGACCACTGCTTTAGTGGAATAGAAAGGAACCTATTTCGCTGGCGCTGCTCGGCAGTCTAGGTATGACGTCATATCTAAGCTGCTCGTATCTGACTCCTCTTGAAGCAGTGGAGCTGTTGGCGGTTCGGCGGTTGTAGGTTATGTTATCATATCAGAGCATTGTTTTGATGATAACAGTCACGTCGATACGCTTTATTTCCTATGTTTCTTTCAAGTCTGGCAAAATTATAAAAAATATCGTTTAAAACTGAAACAATGCAATAGTAAATTAATTTTTTCATGGTTGAAGTAACAAGATTATTTATTTATTTATTCCACCAGCAATGTTTTACAACGAAATACAAATATACCTAAATCCAAACGATATTAAATGAAATAAAGAATCCAACAAATTTTATTGTCAGATAAATACTAAAATCCACATATTGAAAAATCGATTTGTATTTTTTAATTAAAGTGGTGGTTTACTGATTACTATTGATAAAACTATAAAACATCGCTTGCTGGGATTTAATTACAAATATATGATATTTATTACTAATCAATTATGTATTAATTACTATTACTTTTCAAACTAATAATATCTAATATCAGAGAGACTTTGATGATGAGCATCACATCGAAATACTGATATTCCTTCTCTTTATGAACAATATTTTCTCTTCTTTTTCCTCCTCAAATAAAAAAGCGGTAGTCAGAGATGTTCATTATTATAGGGATGTTCATTTTTATTATTATATTATGTCTATCTTTTTATCTTTGAAGATACAGCGAAATGTAAGAAGGTTATAGGCAGGTTATAACACCCCCAGTGAGCAGTTTCAGCGAAATAGCTACGCCAACAGCGGTTGGCAGCGTGGAATAGCGGTCGCTGTCGTGGACCGGCCAGCGAAATAGTACCTTTAGTGAAATAGAAAGGAACCTATTTCGCTGGCGCTGCTCGGCAGTCTAGGTATGACGTCATATCTAAGCTGCCGTATCTGACTCCTCTTGAAGCAGTGGAGCTGTTGGCGGTTCGGCGGTTGTAGGTTATGTTATCATATCGGAGCATTGTTTCGATGATAACAGTCACGTCGATACGCTTTATTTCCTATGTTTCTTTCAAGTCTGGCAAAATTATAAAAAAATATCGTTTAAAACTGAAACAATGCAATAGTAAATTATTTTTTTATGGCTGAAGTAACAAGGTTATTTATTTATTTATTCCACCAGCAATGTTTTACAACGAAATACAAATATACCTAAATCAAAACGATATTAAATGAATTAAAGAATAAAACAAATTTTATTGTCAGATAAATACTGAAATCCGCATATTGAAAAATCGATTTGTATTTTTTAATTAAAGTGGTGATTTACTGATTACTATTGATAAAACTATAAAACATCGCCTGCTGGGATTTAATTACAAATATATGATATTTATTACTAATCAATTATGTATTAATTACTATTACTTTTCAAACTAATAATATCTAATATCAGAGGGACTTTGATGATGAGCATCACATCGAAATACTGATATTCCTTCTCTTTATGAACAACATTTTCTCTTCTTTTTCCTCCTCAAATAAAAAAGCGGTAGTCAGAGATGTTCATTATTATAGGGATGTTCATTTTTATTATTATATTATGTCCATCTTTTTATCTTCGAAGATACAGCGAAATGTTCGAAGGTTATAGGCAGGTTATAACAACCCCAGTGAGCAGTCTCAGCGAAATAGCTACGGCAGTAGCGGTTGGCAGCGTGGAATAGCGGTCGCTGTCGTCGACCGCGCCAGCCAAATAGTACCTTTAAGGTTTTATTTTTTACATAAATTAGAACAATTATCACCAAACATTTTATTGATATGCTATCTATTCGACGTTTCGACCATACTAAGGGTCATTTTCAAGTCTTGATGAGTCCTCCGTTATACATTCATCATTAATGTCGCAAATAATATGTTCAGTGAACATTAAATTGTCATGGTCTTCAGTCCCTCCAGAAATGACGTAGATGAAACCCCTATAGACCATGACAATTTAATGTTCACTGAACATATTATTTGCGACATTAATGATGAACATATAACGGAGGACTCATCAAGACTTGAAAATGACCCTTAGTATGGTCGAAACGTCGAATTAAATAGCGTATCAATAAAATGTTTGGTGATAATTGGGCTAATTTGTGTAAAAAATAAAACCTTAAAGGTACTATTTCGCTGGCGCGGTCCACGACAGCGACCGCTATTCCACGCTGCCAACCGCTACTGCCGTAGCTATTTCGCTGAAACTGCTCACTGGGGTTGTTATAACCTGCCTATAACCTTCAAATATTTCGCTGTATCTTCGAAGATAAAAAGATCGACATAATATAAGAATGAAAATGAACATCCTATAATAATGAACATCTCTGACTACCGCTTTTTTATTTGACTTGGAAAAAGAAGAGAAAATGTTGTTCATAAAGAGAAGGAATATCAGTATTTCGATGTGATGCTCATCATCAAAGTCCCTCTGATACTAGATATTATTAGTTTGAAAAGCAATAGTAATTAATACATAATTGGTTAGTAATAAATATCATATATTTGTAATTAAATCTCAGCAAGCGATGTTTTATAGTTTTATCAATAGTAATCAGTAAATCACCACTTTAATTAAAAAATACAAATCGTTTTTTCAATGGGTGGAGTTTAGTATTTACCTGACGATAAAATTTGTTGGATTCTTTAATTTATTTAATATCGTTTGGATTTAGGTATATTTGTATTTCGTTGTAAAACATTGCTGGTGGAATAAATAAATAAATAATCTTGTTACTTCAACCTCAAAAAAATAATTTACTATTGCATTGTTTCAGTTTTAAACAATATTTGTTATAATTTTGCCAGACTTGAAAGAAACATAGGAAATAAAACGTATCGACGTGACTGTTATCATCAAAACAATGCTCTGATATGATAACATAACCTACAACCGCTGAGCCGCCGACAGCTCCACTGCTTCAAGAGGAGTCAGATACGGCAGCTTAGATATGACGTCATACCTAAACTGCCGAGCAGCGCCAGCGAAATAGGTTCCTTTCTATTCCACTAAAGCAGTGGTCAACCGCGAGCAGTCGCGGTCGTGGACCGCGCCAGCGAAATAGTACCTTAAGGTGGATAGAGTTATTCGCTTAGCTTTCCTTTCTGTTTTAATCAAAATATTTTTTCATAGATCGGCTAAGTTTTTTGTTTTTTGTTTTTGCAGACTACGAAGGACTACGCAGAATACTTCCATTATTATTACGACCTGAGGGACGTGGACGGCCTGACTGTGCTGCCAGCAGTCCTCATGACGTTGCTGTCTTGCAGGCTGGTCATCGTGTGGCTCATCAACCTCATCCTCTTCGGCGTGGTCATCCAGGCGTCGAGGGCCCTCAGGAGGCTGAGTCCTGCGGCCGCCTTCGTGGAGGTACGGCCTCTTATTACACAATATATCATTTATTATCAATATATCATATACATATATTAATGTTAACTTCGTGGCTGGTTAAAAAAAAACAAAAAAAAAAAACTGGCCTTAGCGAATGATTCGCAATCGCGCATTGAAAGTTCGCGCATTGAAAGTTCGAACAGGTTTGAGGCAGGGAGATGGACTCTCGCCAATGCTGTTCAACTTAGCACTAGAGAAAGTAATCACGTTGGAACGAAACATAAAATCCTAGCATATGCCGATGATATAGCTGCCCTCGGAAGTAATCAAGAGGATATTGAGAGACTCGCTCGGACTCTATTAAAAGAAGCAGAGCAAATCGGACTACAGGTCAATGTAGATGAGACAAAACATGATAGCCGAAACATCTACCCTAATAACATGATCTGCGTGGATTCTAAGTCGTTCCCGAAAGTAGACAGATTCAAATACCTCGGCTCCACAACAACCTCAATAAATGATAAACTAACAGAGATAGACCAGCGAATAACAAGTGCGAACATATCTTTCTTCCCTCTTTCAAAGGTACTGAAATCCAGAAAAATCTCCAGAAATCTCAAAATAAGGGTGTACAACGCCGTTATTAAGCCTGCTGTATGCTTGTAAAACCTGGGCTCTAACCAACACATTAGAAGACAGAATTGAGAGATTCGAAAGAAAAGTTCTACGTAGGATAACAGGACCTATACATGGAGGATAAGGAACAATAAAGAACTGTTGAAAGAAACGGGTCAGTCAATATCTCATATTTTTATAAGACGTGGTTATATTTAGTTGTTGTGTATGCATTATAATTTAAAAGAAAATAACTAAATTACAAAAAAAAACCGACTACAAAAAATAGTTAATTCAGAAAGTAAGGGAATGTATTGGGTTGGCAAATAAGTGCTTTCGGTGTTTATGTTTATGTCACTATGGTACACTCCTTATCTGATGAATTAATCCCTAAGGTGGATTGTTTATCCTGTTTGTAATATGTCAACAACTATATCTGTTAACTCTTGTTGAAACTAGCTTAGTAGTGTGTTTGTTACTGCACTGTGAATATGAAAGAAAATATCATTCATTATCGGCATAATTTGTTGTATTATTTTGAAAAAGGTAAGCGTGCAGCAGAAGCTCATAGAAACATTTGCAGTGTTTATGGACATGATGCCATAACTGAACACACCTGTCAAAATTGGTTTGCCAAATTTCATTCAGGACATTTTGACATCAATGATGCTCAACGGTATGGTCGCCTACAGCAAATTGAAACGAGCAATGTTAACGTCATTGTTGATCAAAATCCCACCCAATCAGTGCGAGAGATTGCTATGGCCCTAAATGTGTCCCACACAAGCGTAAAAAACCATTTGCACAAGCTCGGCTATGTTTCCAGGCTTAGTATTTGGGTCCCTCACTCTCTAACCGAAGTCAACTTGTCAACAACCATTTCTATTGGTGATTCACTAAGGAAACAGAAAAACGACCCATTTTTGAAAAGATTGGTAACAGGAGATGAAAAATGGATATTTTATGATAATGTGATCCCTAGAAAATCTTGGGGACCTAGCAGTGAGGCTCCTAGAAGAATGTCAAAACCCAGACTACATCCGAAGAAGATAATGCTTTAATTATGGTGGGATTTTAAGGGTGTTATTTTCTATGATCTATTGTCATCAGAACAAAAAATTGATTCAACTCTATACTGCTCACAATTAACATAATTGGATCAATCAATTAAAAACAAACCCCCAGAACTGGCATGGCAAATCGGAAGGGTGTTGTATTCCACCAAGACAGCGCTAGGCCCCACACCTAATTGGTCACTCGCAATAAACTACTGAGCCTTGGATGGGACCTTTTGCCCCACCCTCCCTACTCACCAGACCTAGCTCCAACTGACTACCACTTATTGCGGTCACTGCAGAACTCCATGAATGGAAAGAAATTCCTAAAGAAAGAGGACATAAAAAACCACTTGGATCAGTTTTTTAACAATGAACTCCAGACATTCTATGAGCATTGCATTATACAGTTAGTAGAAAGATGGGAAGTCATATTAAATAATGGTCAATATATTGTAGATTAAAATAAGTTTTATGTTTATAATACATTGAGTTTTATTTCACCCTGAATAACCAAAAGGACTTATTTGCCAACCCAATACTTCCATATCTACTGAAACATTTTGCTAAATTGAAAGGAAAATAGACATTGCGGAAATTGGTTCCTTTTACTATACATTATGGCACTAGATAAATATATTTCGTCCCATGTATAGCTACATGTCAACGTCCGAAAGAGGTGTGATAGGACTACTGCACAAATACGGACAGGATACAGTCCGTAGGTTACCAATTTCAAACATTTTTCTTATTGGACATAATGCATAGATATTAGGCACGTGTCCCATGGTCACAATATTCTTTCAATGGCCCTAGGAAACGATAAAAAAAAATTTATATAATTTAAAACAAAATTCGTGTTATTAATTTTTGCCTTTGCTCTGCCCGGATTTTTAGGTAACTATATATCAATCTTTTTATTTTTTCTGCAGAAAAAGAAAAAAAATCTGGTGGATGCAACAAACAACTTTCACTTACCGCTCAATTTTGAATAGAAATTATTTTCTGGCATTGTTGGGCTATTATAAAATTTCTGAATTGCATTTTTAACTGAGCTAAAGCTAAAAGATTACAGCTAACAAATCATAAACACCATTAAAATAACAAAAGTTTTATTTATTGCAATATTTATTAAAATGGAATTAAGATATTTGTATAGTCTGCCATAGACAGGTAAAAAGTTGTCACACTAATTTTAAGAGGATAATGTTGGGATGACACAAAGGGAAATTCATCAAATTATTCACTAATTTAATGTTCTAAAAGGTTACATGATGATTTTTTTTTTCCGGAATAAACAGCCGATAGATACCTAATTACTTAAATATAATATCGGATCTGGAGTTATTAAATTTCATTTATTAAACTTAATTTATTTAAGTTATAAATAGATGTTTTACACATGTATGAAATAGTTGGATTTTATATACTTCTTTTCAATGTTAATAGTTTCTCATACCTCTTGTTATGTTTTTTTTTTCTTAGCTTTGATAAAGGCCTGAACTTAGGGCTGAATTTATATATTTTTTTTACTGAGTACCTCAACCAAGCTTCTCTTCAATTATTTTATGAATCGATTTTAGTTTACAGATTTTATTCCTTCATGTATCTAATGTGTTATCAATTTTTATTTTTTTCTTCAAATTATTGGAGGGCGATCATCCTTCTGGCCCACCTCCCACCGAAGTCTGTGCCTATGTCCACAGAAGAACCTCGTTATTTTGACATGTCAGAGATAAAAGTCAATTCTTATTTTATTCTTATTTGTAGTAAAGTAATAAATTTTGAAATAGACCATTGTCACTTATCCATGAAACGTCTTTTCATTTGGTACCTCATTCATCAAAATCCACCGAGGATAAGAGCAGGAAAAGATATTTGTGCTACCGTATTATTATAAACATTGAAGATAATTCGTACCGATTCTAATTATAATCAAATGTTTATGTAAATATTTTATATTTGGTCCAAAATTGTTGTTAAAAATTTAACATTTTTATCTATGAGTTTAAACCGAAAATAACTTCGTTTTTTTTTTCTTTTTTTGGTTTAGGAACTTTGTGAGGTCCAAAAAAAAACTCCCCCCGCGAAGATACTGCGACCAGAACTTGTCGAAAAGAAAAAACCTGACCTGCCTTCAGCCAGCTTCTTATCGACCATGCTTAAAACTGTTTTACCTGGAAGCATTATTTTAATATTTTTGGGTATATTTTTTGTTTAAGTTTTTTTTTTGTCATCAAATCTCAATTTTTACCTGAATCGAAAATAAATAAAAATTGCACTGAACAAATAAATTGAATTAAAAAAAAAACATTATATTATTTTTATAGCATACAATTATTGAGTTGGTTATCAGTAAAATTTAATTACAATAAATATAAAACAAATTTAAAATGTTTTTTAATCCTGAAAAATAAATGTAATTGTTTTTAGTATAGCAACAACAAAAATACTATGATTTTTCTATATATCTTTCTTTATTTTATTTTTATATTTTTTTATTTAAAAAGATTCGTCTGGATTCTTCATTTTAATTATATGTTTATTTATTACTTTATTGTTTTGTTTTTTAAGTTACCATTAAAGTCTGAATTTGTATACAAGTTTTATAAATAAATAATAAATAACCTGACACTGTGAAACTATTTTTATTAAATCCTGTTATTCCAAATTACGTTAAAGTACACACGTCATTGTTTATTATAAACATAATAATTTGAAAATTATATAAAACTAGTCAGTACAGCTTAGTTAGTAGGGCTTTCAGGCTGAAGTCTCCCTCCAAAAAAAAAAAAAAAATGGTAAAATATAACCATGTTTTATAAAAATAAATATTAAAAAATTATCTATTAAAGTATTATTGTTCGTTTAATTGCATTTAGAAAGACTTTAGGTATCACTTAAACACCATTTCATATAGGTAATTAGTTTTTTTCTTTTTTTCTAAAGTAATTACCTCGTTATTTTTATGAAAAATCTTTTGGGCTGAATCCCCCTCCCCCCAAAAAAAATTAAATCCTGGATCCGCTAGTGCATTCTATAAAGAAATCTCACATTATTCTTCTACCTATACCATTTGACGTGTAAGCAACGTCAGCAAAACATGTTATTTCTAATATAAAATATAATATTACCAAGATAATATATTGAAAACATATAATTGGTGTAGCTTCATACTTTATCAGGGCTGTGAAAATAACAGTTCAATTAATAAGTGATTAGCTTGACCCACTGAAAAATATTCCTCCAGTATTACTTTCAATTACCTATTCTAATATTCATTTTTTTTTCTTTCACTTACCTATATATGTATAGTAAGAGAAAATATTGCGATCATGAAAATTTTCGAATCTGAGTTTCAACAGAAAT